GAGTTCGGGTGCTATACAGAGACATAGTTTTTCTCATATATTTAAAATTCTTACTAAAATATCCAGATCTCTCTCCACCATTTTTGGAGAGAAATGGGAGATGGAATTTGGAATTCAATTAAATGAACAGCAAAAAAGGAAAATATTTAATTTAGCTCATGGTGCGGTGGATATGAAAGTAGTAGAAATTAATTATAAATGTTTGGTATATTACACCTAGTGTGGCACATAAACAACAACCAGAGAACTCACCATTATGTTGGAGAGGGTGCAGGATAAAGAGAACTATGGCACATATATGGTGGAAATGCCCCATGATACAGGAATTTTATTTTATAGTTTTTTAAATACAAGAGATTTTATTTGTTAACATTTTAAAAGATCCATGGGTTTGTTTATTCCATAATACTGAGTTAACAGCGAAACAGTATAAGAATACAATTATATTTCATTTATTAAATGCGGCAAAGGGATGGATCCCAAAGTTTTGGCGGGCCCAGGAGATCCCAAGAGTAAAGGACTGGATATTTAAGGTAGAATATATCTACAGGATGGAGGAATTATATCACAGTGGAGAGGATAAAATGGAAACAAATTTTAAGAACTTGGAGGGGTGGTGTGATTTCAAAACCTCAAAGATAACCGTTGGGAGTGTAAAATAGGGGGAAACATGATCTGTGAGATGAGGTAGAGAAGGGAATAGGAAAAGATGAATAGGAAAAGATGAATAAGAAGAGAGGAAAGAGAGAGAATATAGGTAGCTTAGAATAACTGTAGAAGAAGAAGAAAGATAAGAGTGGGCAATGTGGGGGGGGGGGGGGGGGGGGGGGGGGGGGGGGGGGGGGGGGGGGGGTTGGGGGGAGAAGGGACTATTGGAATAATGAATTTTTAAAAGTGTTGAATGGTATGATATTGTGTAATTTTTTTAAATATCTGTTTGTAAATGAAAAATTAAAGAAGTTCCCTTTCCTTTGTTAACCCTCTCTTAAAGAAATCGTACCTTTGCATCAAGAAAGATTTAAATCCTCATGTGCTCCAACTAGGATCCCATTGAGCGAGCAAGCAGAAGATTGGACACCTCAGTTCAAAAGGGACATTGACATATCTAATTAAAAAGCTATTTTCTTCCATAAGCTGCAAGTGCAGCGGACTGGACTGTACACATGTGGTGGTCACAATGCAAAAATGATCCATCCTGTTATGTTTTGCAGGCAGAACGTTATGCTTGTAGCCAACTACCAGAAGGAAGATGTGACATATCCTTACTCATTTTCTTTAGTTGTAAAAATCTGTATCATTAAAGATTATTGGATAGTGGATGATGAATCACATTGTATTAATCATATTGTAGTCAGTATGCAAGTTGAGATTGTTGCAAGATACTACCATTTTACGATGGTATAATAATTCCCCATTTTAAGAAATGCACAGTTTTTCTGGTGGATTATAGTTGACCGCATTAACAAGGAATCCCTTATGCCCTTACTGCCCTTACTGCCCTATGTAATAACATACACTATATTCCAAATAGTATTGGGACACCCTTCCAAATCATTGGATTCAGATGTTCCAATCACCTCCATGGCCACAGGTGTATAAAATCAAGCACCTAGGTATGCAGACTGCTTCTACAAACATTTGTGAAAGAATGAGTCGCACTCAGGAGCTCAATGAATTCAAATGTGGTACTGTGATAGGTTGCCACCTGTGCAATAAGTCCAATCATGAAATTTCCTTGCTACTAAATATTCCACGGTCAACTGTTAGTGGTATTATAACAAAGTGGAAGCAACTGGGAACAGCAGCCACAAAGTGGTAGGTCAAGTAAAATGACAGAGTGTAGAGAGCTTCAAGGTATGGGTTTCCATGACCGAGCAGCTGCAAGCAAGCCGTACACGACCAAGTGCAATGCAAAGCATTGGATGCAGTGGTATAAAGCACACCACCACTGGACTGTAGAGCAGTGGAGACGTGTTCTCTGGAGTGATGAATCAAGCTTCTCTGTCTGACAATCCAATGGATGTGTCTGTGTTTGGCAATTGCCAGAAGAACGGCACTTGCCTAACTGCATTGTTCCAAGTGTAAAGTTTGATGTAGGAGAGATCATGGTGTGGGGTTGTTTTTCAGGGGTTGGGCTTGGCCCCTTAGTTTCATTGAAGGAAACTTTTAAGGCATCAGTATACCAAGACATTTTGGACAATTTAATGCTCCAAACTTTGTGGGAACAGTTTGGGGATGGCCCCTTCCTGTTCTAACATGACTGCACACCAGTGCACAAAGGAAGGTCCATAAAGACATAGATGAGTGAGTTTGGGGTGGAGGAAATTAACTGGCCTGCACAGAGTCCAGACCTCAACCCGATAGAACAACGTTGGAATGAATTAGAGTGGAGACTGCGAGACAGGCCTTCTCGTCTGACATCAGTGCCTGACCTCACAAATGCGCTTCTGGAAGAATGGTCAAACATTCCCATAGACACACTCCTAAACCTTGTGGACAGCCTTCCCATCTGAGCTGAAGCTGTTATAGGTGCAAAGGGTGGGACAACTCAATATTGAACCTACGGCCTAAGATTGGGATGCCATTAAATTTCATGTGCGTGTAAAGGCAGGCGTCCCAATACTTTTGGTAATAAAGTGTATATGCATGCCAGGTAAAGGAAGGATTGTCAGCAAGTCTGACTGTTTTCCTTTGAACAAACAGATCCCATTATGCATGGGTAGATTTAGGCCTCTTATTTATTTTTCACAGATGCATTTATATCTTTAGACCTTATGCTACTGTAATGGAGAGTTTAACAACGCACTACTTAGCAAGTCCTAGAAAGATAATTATAGAAGCTGCGGCAGCCCTGGGAAAGGATCTTGCTTTGCCTGATTGCTGTTGTCTGGTGCTATAAAAAACATCTATGAATCAGCCAACGCACAGCACAGGGTCACAGCTGACTGCTGAAAAAGGAACTGCGTCTTTTTCTTCATGTCACTGTCACAGCTGGGAAGTGGATGGTGAATCACATCCATTAGTGACGTTTGTATTGATTGAACATCACATATACAGAAATCTCACTAACACTTCCCTTTCACTCCTACGGAAGGAGACCTTTTTACTAGAGGTACCTGCATTATGTGCAGCATTTATTTATGGAACATCAATAACAAAGCATACTTATCGTTTCTTTTATTTGATTATCCCAGATAGCATTGCTATAGATAAATATAGAGCAATGTTATAACTAGAGACATTTTTAGATCAGATCTTTTATATTAACAATTTTATTGGTGGGCGTAGGGAGAGAAAGTTGCTCCAGCAGCACCCAGAAAAGAACTGCACTGACAGTATGTAGCACAGACTACTACAGTAAAATTCAGCATCCCCAGCAACCCTCCAAATGTGGTGTATAGATAATTGCATGTAATCAAGGTGGCCCAATGTAAGTACTAAAAATAGACTATTCCTGGAGTTCAGCTGTAAATGGTCTTTTTGTCTATGGAACACATAAAAAGCAGGTATAGTAACCCTGTCTCTCACTCCCCTGGCAACCATCACTCTCCTCTTCATTCCAACGCTCTTGGATGTAGGTGGACCCTCTGTGCCCTCACTTGTATGACTACAGGTCCTGCATTGTATGGGATAAATTCAGAGTGCTTGCAACTAATGAAACGGTAAAGAGAAGCAGTTTCAGGGGAGGAAGCCTGAATGAGCAGGGTAAGTAAAACAGCTTTTCATGTTCCCCTAGCTAGAAACAAGCATTTAACCCTTGCAGTACAGGACAGCCCCATTGCACTGCAAGAGAACAAATTTTTTTATCCGGAGTTTAACTTTAACTTTACTACCTGGCATGCCTCTATATAACAGAATATGCCAGTGGTGGCAGGTCAGCTTTTTAGTTTTTTAGTAGATGCATTTCTCTCCATGCTGCAGATTTAGACTGGGGACCAAAGGTAGGCAGCCGCCTGCAGCAAAGACACCACCGAAATTCAGAAATAGGAGATGCGAAAACTTGAAACTAGTGTTCATGATCCTCCAGCTTGCTATTCAGAAATAATAACTAAAGGAAAAACGATTCTTTACATTTTGCATAGAGTAAAGGAGGGTTATAGCCTTTATTTTTTTTTGCTTCCTGTCCCATTAGAAAAACAGGGAGTGAGAGGAAATCCCTCCAAGGTCGAGGAATCTCTTGCTGTCACGACTCACCAGAACTAGTGTATGCATTGAAAGATTTGCCCTCTTTTCCTGTTCTGGTTACAACCACAAATATTTGGATTTTCTTTTATTTCACTCCGTTTGATAACAGGATGAATAGAGAGGTTGAATCTCCCTAACAGCTTCAGACAACTATACAAACCTGGCAGGTGTTCTAATCCCTCTCCACTCTATCCAAAACTAAAGAAAAGTTTTGCCTTTAGTTAGACTTTAAATCTGAAGTTTTGTCAAAAAATAATTTTACTCCTATAACTGCAGTGCATCACACAGCTGTAAAGAAGTATGTACTGTCTGTCAGGCAGCTGGATCCTGTAGAAATCTTCTGTCCAGAAATGACAGGTCCTCTTCTGATGCTGAACTTCCTGCACTGAAGGAGTTATAAGCTCCAAGATCTGACAACAGCCTGCCCCCTTTCTCTGCTATTGAGAAATACCTGAACATTGATTACACTGCATGTAACATAGTTACATAGTAATGCAGGCCATAGATGGGTCGAAAATCGGCCGATTTTTCGGCCGAAAATAAAATCGGCCGATTTTCGGATCGTTAGTGGGCGATTTGGTCGGCCGTTTTTCGGTATTTTGGCCGGGTTTTTTTTTTTCGGTAAAGTTGGAAAAAAATCGGCCGATTTTGCCGATCGGCCGATTTTCGCGGCAATTAGTGGGCAAATCGGCCGATTTTTTACAGATAAAAAATCTGCGCATGAGCAGTGACCTGCAAGAGGAAGACAAAAAGAAGAAAAAGAAGAAGAGGATGAAGAAGAGGATGAAGAAGAAGAAGAGGATGAAGAAGAAGAAGAGGATGAGGATGAAGAAGAGGATGAGGATGAAGAAGAAGAAGAAGAAGAGGATGATGATGATGAAGAAGAAGAGGATGAGGATGAAGAAGAAGAAGAAGAGGATGAGGATGAGGAAGAAGAAGAGGTTGAGGATGAAGAAGAAGAAGAAGAGGGTGAAGAAGAAGAAGAAGAAGAAGAAGAAAGAGGATGAGGATGAAGAAGAAGAGGATGAGGATGATGAAGAAGAAGAGGATGAGGATGAAGAAGAAGATGAGGATGAGGAAGAAGAAGAGGATGACGATGAAGAAGAAGAAGAGGATGAGGATGAAGAAGAAGAAGAAGAGGATGAGGATGAAGAAGAAGAAGAGGATGAGGATGAAGAAGAAGAAGAAGAAGAAGTAGGATGAAAATAAGAGGAATTCCAGTCCAGCAAAAAGTGTCTCTGCAGAGAGCTCCGCTATTTCTTTGACAGTTCTCTGACAGTTCCTTGACATTTACAGCGGTTGCAACATTGTATCTATTTGTTTCCGAATAAAAACATCTGTATCCTAAATGGAAACAAATAGATACATTGTTGCAACCTCTATAAATGTCAAGGAACTGTCAGAGAACTGTCAAAGAAATAGCAGAGCTCTCTGCAGGGACACTTTTTGCCGGCTCTAGACGGGATGAAAATCGGCCGATTTTTTTTTACCATTGATGGTAACGTCGGCCACTTGAACGACCGATTTTTCATTTTTTAAAAGAAAAATCTGCCGTTTTTCTCCCCATCTATGGCCTGCATAAGTCTGGCTGAAAAAAAGACAAACATCCATCCAGCTCAACCACCCAAAAAAAGTTACAATCCTGCACCCACAGTTGATCCAGAGGAAGTCAAAAAACCTGTGAATGGAGGGGAGGATGTTGTCATTCATCAGACTCTCCCCCATTCATTGATCATGTTGCAAATAATATATTCAATGTACAAGCTTTTCTCAATGGAGGAAGGAGGGGCTAGGCCGGCCCCAGATCTTCTTCGCTGCAGTTCATAGAAGACTTGTAGCCATTCTCTTCTGACTAAACTTCAGCTGTAAGATAATGAGAGGAAATGTATTTACTTTTTACATGTACTTATATAGTGCCATTAATGTACGCAATGCTTTGTATATGTATTGTCCATTCACATCAGTCCCTAACTCTTAAGGAGCTTACAATCTAAGGTCCCTAACTCACATTCATACATACACACACATACTAGGGCCAATTTAGACAGAAGCCAGATACAGTGAAGGAAATAAGTAGTTGATCCCAGGGGTGGACTGACAACTCATGGGGCCCCCGGGCAATAGGGGATCATGGGGCCCCTATGTCCTTGCCCACACTCAAAAAAGCCTATATAAAAGGTACCAGGGGCATTTCATGGGGCCCCCTACTGACCCCAGGCCCTCGGGCAGTGCCCAAGTGCTCGAATGGTCAGTCTGCCCCTGATTGATCCCCTGCTGATTTTGAATTTTTTCCCAAACACAAAGGAATGATCAGTCTAAAAAATCGAATAGTAGGTGTATTGTAACGCAGAGAGACAGAATAGCAACACAAATTTCAAAAGAAATGCATGGCTAACAAATGATGCACTGATTTGCATGTTCATGAGGGAAATAAGTATTTGACCCCCTTCACAAGGCAGGGGGTGTCATGGTTGGGATTCAAATCAACAACCCTAGTACCGCCAGGCGGAAGTACTACCCACTTAGTTACTGTATTGCCCAAAATTCAGGACACAATAGGAGTACATAGATCAGGGAGTACATAGGATGTTTAGAAAAAAAGTTAAAATAATTGCATGGCCATCAAGATCATTATTCCGATTACAAACTGGGCCAAACATTGGAATTAAAACAGCCTGTTACAGCAGAAGTATTTTTTTTTAAATCTTTACTTTTTATTATCAAGGAGCACTTTTTTTTTGTTTACAAACGATTTTATTTTTCAAGGAATAGACTACAGAACAACAATACTGTTTCAAACAATACGTACAGTAATAACAAAGCACATTTGAATTGTACAATTCAGAAAGGCACAATCTTGTAAGAAAGATAAGAAGAGAGAAAAAGAAAAAGAGAATAGATTGTCAGTACATAAGAAATATAAATGAGAATGTAGGTTGAATGATATATCTGTCAACAGTACACGCCAATCACCCTTCAAATGAAATGCCTTTAGTCATGTAATAAGTGTCTATGAACCCTCCATGATTCCCATTTTCTATGAAATAAGTGCATCTTATCCAGTAGAGTATAATGAATCTGCTCCATGAGCATCACAGCATCAACTCTATGTAAAACGGAGGCCAAGGGTACAGTGATAGATTTCCAATGTAGGGCAATAGCCCACAAAGTTGAAATACAAATAGTATGTATCAATCTCATGACATCATCAGAAACCCCCGGGATACGAGCACCCAATAGACAGGACTGTATAGTCAGACGTACCGGGACACCCGCCAGTAAAGTAGCTACCTCAGATATCCTGCGCCACACCAAAGATAAAGTTGGGCAAGCCCAAAACGTATGAACCAAAGTACCAGTGAGGCCGCAACCTTGGAAACATAAGGGGGATGTTTGTGGGTACAATAAATGTAGTATTGACAGGGTATAATACCATCTAGTAATACCTTGAGGGCAGTCTCACGGACAGAAAGGGATCTAGAACTCTTACATATGTTATCCACCATGGAATCCCAATCCTCATCCGAAAAGGTGACACCACTATCCACCTCCCATTTTTGTCTATATAAGGGGGGTGTGGGAGAGAAACTGACCAAGAATTGGTGATTCAAATCAGAGATAAGACCCTTACCCCTAGGAGAGTCACGGCTAATACGCTCAAAGAACGAAATCGGAGATGAGGGTATGAGGCCAAAATGTAAGTTAAAAAAATGTCTGATCTGTCGATAATGATGGTACTCACGAAACGGAACATCAAAAAGTATGCGCAGCATATCAAAGGTAATATAAGATCCTCCTCTTTGCAAGTCAGATAACCTAATAAAGGATCTATCATACCACCAACGAAACGCCTGAGGAGAAGAAAACGCTGTACCAAAGTTGGGGTCACCAAAAAATGAAACACCTGGAGAGACAGAAGAGACAAGATTCAATTTAAGTTTATATTTGGACCAAAGCGTCAATGAATGGGCCACAATAGAATTATAAAAAGTTAACGATCGAGGAGGGATTCTGGACCATAAAATACCCGATAAATAAAATGGACGTATAGATTGAGATTCAAATCTAATCCACGGGATCTGAGAATTAACAGTCGCCCATTGTGATATTTGTGCGAAATGGGCTGAAAGGTAATATAGCCAAAAATTGGGAAGGCCTAGGCCTCCCGTCCATTGTGACTGGTACAAAACCGATGAGGTAAAACGAGGACGTTTATTACGCCAGAAAAAATTATTAATAATCCGCTGAAAGTGATCTAGAAACGTTTTCGAAACAGGATCTGGGAGTGCTCTAAATAAATAAAGTAGTTTAGGCAAAATATTTATTTTGACTGCCATGACTCTGCCCAGAAAGGAAATAGGGTAACCATGCCAAATCTTCAATAGAGTAGAAAGGCGCGACACACATGATGGATAATTAGCAGCAAACATATCTGAGTATCTGGTAGTGAGGTTGATACCTAAATAGGAAATCCGATCCGTGGCCCAACGAAAAGGAAAAGAGCTACAGAGAGATGCACTTAGGGAATCAGGAATAATAACAGGCATAATCACTGATTTAGTAAAATTGACAGTAAGACCTGATACTATAGCAAAGTCGTTCAATACCGTGCATAGATTAGGCAATGAGATTAGCGGGTTGGTGAGGAAAAGCATAACTTCATCAGCATACATACATATTTTGAAATGTGAAACTAATAATGGGTAACCAGAGATATCCGAATGTGATCTAATTGCAATTGCCAAAGGTTCCAACACAAGCGCAAATAGTAAGGGCGAAAGGGGACAACCTTGACGGGTACCTCTGCCCAATGTAAAAAATTCAGAGTTACAGCCAGGAAATCTTATCTTTGTTTTGGGAGAGTCATATAAGGCATGTATACCAGACAAAAACTCGTCATTGAACCCACTCTCTGCAGCAAAGAAAATAAATAAGGCCAAAGGACACTATCGAAAGCCTTGTTAATGTCCAGACTCAGTAACAAAACTTCTTTAGAGTGCAAATTGGCATCCCGAGTAATATTTAAAGTAAGGCAAATGTTGTCAGTGATAAATCTGTCTGGGATAAAGCCCAATTGGTCTGGAGAGACCAAAGAGGAGATAATAGGGGCCAACCTATCTGCCAAAACACGGCTAAATATTTTCAAATCATTGTTCATCACTGAGATTGGCCTATAATTTTGTGGTAGATTGTGGTCTTTCAGTGGTTTAGGTATTAAAGACATGTTAGCCAGTAGCATCTCCTTGGGGAACCTACCTCCGTTGCAAAACATCATTAAATAAAGTAATCAAAAAGGGAGCCAATGTAGGGGCAAAGTGTTTATAATAATTGGCAGTAAATCCATCAGGACCCGATGTGGTGGAGCTTTTTAGTTCGCTAATCGCATGGGTTATCTCCTCCAAAGTACAAGGGGCATTGAGAGAGGCTATCTGAGAGGGTGTGAGGGTAGGGAGGGGTATAGAATCCAACCATGAGTTGGATGGTGGATCAGAATTCGACACCCCACAACCGGGCGGTGACATCTCTGGCCATGTCAAGCGGCAGGGTGGGGTCACGCATCCAAGAGTTTTGGAAACATTAACATATGGGCGGTGTGATAAAGGTCTGGAGACCTTTGTTAATCATTTTTACACATCCAGAGATAAGTGAAGAAAAGCAAACATTATACTCAGAAATGTATAGGTATCTCAGCATTAACCAAAAAGACATCTAGAGGATGTATGAGATACAAATGAGCAAAATCCTTTTATCCCGGGTTCCTGCCTGATTCTCCTTCTTTTCAACCCGGTTCTTTTGGATTTTCCTCCTGTCCCTTCGTGGAGATGGAGTGTGCCAAATAGGGGAAACCCGAGGAGTGGATGGTAGACGTTGAGGTGAAGGAGCGTCCACCAGGCCTAATTTAACCAGGATTTCTCGGCCTTCAGGAAGAGATGTAGCTACATATGTGCTACCATTGTGTGGGACTATCAGCTTAAAGGGGAAGCCCCATTTATAATGGATACGAGCCGAAAAAAAGGGTAGATATGATTTCCTTCATGTTCCTGCGTCTCTCCAATGTGGCCAGAGAGATATCCGGAAATATTAGCAATGTTGAGCCCTCAAAAGTGATCGTTGAAGTGTTGCGGGCAGCTCTGAGAATATCTTCTTTGTCAGAAAATCCTTCATACACAGGACAATGTCGCGAGGTGGTTTATCATTAGGGGGTTTTGGGCACAGAGCTCTATGGATGCGATCACACACAAAGGATCCAACATCGTGATCCGTGAGGAGGGACTTAAATAACTTAAGTGTGGCATGAGAAAGATCAGTTACAGTCTCTGGGACTCTCCGAA